TCTCGAATCTGATACAGCTGCGGCAGCTTCGTGAGCTGGAGCTGACGAACTGCCCCGGAGCCTCTCCGGAACTTTTTGACTACATACATGAACATCTTCCTAAATGCGTTATCATAGAGTGAGATGAGATTCCTTTCTTCACATACTATGTCGTCGGTCTGAAATGTAACATTGCAATAAAATTGAATTTATATTAAGTAAATTAATTAAGTAAAGAGAAAGTTATATATGAAAATGATTTGTTTACGCTCAGTTCGTATTGCACCTGGAGAATTTACGTTTATTAAGTAGTCGTGATGTAGATAGTGACATTTAAAATATTTATTCTATCGACAACGTGAGTTGTTATATAAAAGTTTGTGAAATATTAACGTTGCTCATTGGTATTGAAGCATTTATATTTTGTTCGGGTGTTTTTATTTTATTTAAAATATAGCGAAAGAATATAACAATGTGAAAATTATCACTGAATTACAATATTGTATTATTATTGTTTTACTATAAATTCAGTTGTTAAATAATTTAGAAAAAGCGTCTATCAAGTGCAGGCCTGTCGCGTGACTAAGATTTCACTACCTGTGAGGATATAGGGCGCCCATCCGTATTGGCTGCAATACTTATTGTCCAGTTGAAATCAAACAATACTATTATATCTGAATTGAACAGAACAGAGTGACACTTTGTTTTATGGAAATTGTTAAATATGATCTTCACGTGTAACACATTATAGCGATTAAAAATATCGAGGGATGTAAGGCTATTTGGTTTAAGCGACATTTCGGTTAATACCCGATATTTATCTTTTTAATTAAAGGTGCGTTTTATTGTGTTATTAGTATCGTTAGTATCAACAATACTTCAATTAAGTCTACTCAATTTAAATAGCTGAAGATTTAATTTTGTTATATTTTTTCCAATTTTAATTTTAAACTTTAAATAGCTATCCTGTAAAGTTGCCAAAATTTCGCTTAAAGCAAATAGGCTTCCACCCCACGATATATTCGTAGTGTATGTAGTAAGCACAGCACCGAAAATAATATGATGACGACTTCAATACAAGTATCTCGTATAGTGATTCAAGAAGTTAACACACTTATACTACGTTTATCTATGTTGTAGTTGTTAGTCTGTTAAGGATTTTTTACAATCTAATTTCAGTAATTGGCTTAATATAGATACAGTATAACTATTGGCTATTGTTTGAGGAGTCCTCATGTAGTTTTTTCATGTTTTATCTGTATTGGACCGAATGTCACTGACAATGCTCTTCTCGACTGGACCTGTAAAATGACCACGAACGACCGGCCTGTACTTATTTTATATTAGACAAATAATTTTTGTATATGTACAGTTAAAGCTATAATGTTTTTGTATTATGCTAAGTTTTGATAATCCTTTTATCATATTTTTTTTATTACAACTCCCAAGAGTTTGCTCAAATTCATTTAAGATCGGAAAAGAATCATATTTTTTTAAGTTCGCTCATTTATTGCATGTTGTTTAATGTATAACATCTATAGATATTAATATATTTAAGAGACACAGTGTTAATCAGTAATTTACATAAAAAAGTTAATTTTGTCTTACACAATTAAGAGCACACTTCGATAAAATCCAATAGCATTGTAATGAATACCAATAATACGGTTGCGCCTTTTTATTCAAAAAATATTGTAATTGATGTATTTTCCGTACCGTGAATAGCTTACCTATGTTCCCCACTCTATCTAATTTGCCGTTTTTTGTTTTACGAAACTATCGGTTCGTAAATTCGTATTCGCGTTGCTAATTACTGGAGTTACTATTTTAGTAACATGTATATTATGGTATTAGACTAAAATAAATCTATATATTTACTAAAAAAAAATAACAAAAAAGAGTAATTAAAAAAAAACCAAAATATCTGTGAACCCTGCTTTAACTCTTTCTTTGGTAGTGATAATCGGCTTAGTTACTTGAATTTTATTCTTCTAATCTAGTCAAATAGTATTTATATCATAAAAAAGTGTTGTGGTGTTCGTGTCTTATGACTTGCAAATTCATCACATTCCTTTGACATTGATACTTTTATTGTATGCACATTTAATGCAACCCATCTTTCATAAAAAAAAATTATAATTAATCTTTCAAAGACATTCGATTAGAGTACATTGAATATCAAAACAATTATTTTGTAAAAAACATTTTATTACCAAACCGTCCGTGTGTAATTAATAATCTAGTTGTAAATACAACTCAATTCGTAATAAGATTAAAATTGTCGAAACTAAAATAAGTACACTAATTATAAAATTATCATTTTGCCGGCTAATAATTTCAAACAAGAACATAAAACAGGTTATGTAACTAGCCGAAGTGTTAATACGCATTTTTTTAAACACAGCAGAATCCATGATCCTAGCGAAAATTTCCAAGATTCCAGACTACCGCTTTTATCATCCCTTATTAGCTTAGTAGCCGACTACACTTATACCCTAAAGGGGGTGTGTTAAATTTATGATGGGAAAAGAGAAAGCAAAAAAAAATACTCTTTCTTGATTTCATAACAACTTAATAATTGCGATTAAAACTGTTTATCGGCGTCACTGCCAAAACGTCGAGAATAATAATAATATGAAAATAAACAACGCCATGTTACTACGGCTGTGTATGAAGACACACAACGCACTAGCTGAAGGCATACAGTACTGACAGCGAGCGTGTTAACAATAATCTCGTAATAACAAACCTTTACATGGCATTAATGTACAAATAATATTTAAAAGTATGAATATAGCAGTTTATAGCAATTAAGCTGAATTATTATAATGTCTGCATATTGAAATATAGAAACGACGATCATGAATGTATTTAAAAGTTTATGTAGAAGAACACTTGTAGAAGTATTGAAATAAAGTTGCCTTTTATCTTGTAGGAAAAAATCGTCTATGGTTACTTAATACTATCGAATTATTTAAAATATTTCTATTGATTTCACATCACAAAGTTTAGTGAAAAGTTATATAGTTTAAAATAATATCCACCAATCGTCTAAATAAACTCAACCATAGATGATAAACTACTAATATGTACATAATACATTTCTATTAAGATTAATAACAAACACTTTAACATTTAAATTTGTTATAATATCTGACAATTATTTACATTAAGTCTGTGTGTTGTATGTTTAAAATGTTTTTTTGATAAAAATGAATGTCCTATTCAGAAACATTCGATTTATATTCGATGTGTATTAAACATAATTGTTTGGTGTTTGTATAACTGCAGCATATATGTACATTATTTTCCTTGAATCTGTACAAATATAGTAATGTTGGAAATACATTTTATAACAATTTAATATTGTAACAGTCAATTGATTTTTGTTATTTTAGGTTGAATGTTAATATAAATTTAATTGAATGCACCCGCTAGATATTCGGCTCAGGTCATCGTGCCATGTTTGTGAATTTTGAGTGTTTTATGTCACTATATTATGTACAATTATAAGTGAGATGTTACAGTGCAATATAGATGTATTTGTTTTATAAAATGGTTTTATTGAAATAACTGACTATTATTATGTATATACTTAATAGTAGTAAAAATTGAATTACAATTTAAAAATCTGCTACATTGTCGAAATTGATTAAAAATTCAGAAAAGTGCAGACGAAAACAGTTTTTTTTAATTTTTTTTTATTGCTTTGATGGTTGGACGAGCTCACAGCCCACCTGGTGTTAAGTGGTTACTGGAGCCCATAGACATCTACAACGTAAATGCGCCACCCACCTTGAGATATAAGTTCTAAGGGTCTCAGTATAGTTACAACGGCTGCCCCACCCTTCAAACCGAAACGCATTACTGCTTCACGGCAGAAATAGGCAGGGTGGTGGTACCTATCCGCGCGGACNGTTGGACGAGCTCACAGCCCACCTGGTGTTAAGTGGTTACTGGAGCCCATAGACATCTACAACGTAAATGCGCCACCCACCTTGAGATATAAGTTCTAAGGGTCTCAGTATAGTTACAACGGCTGCCCCACCCTTCAAACCGAAACGCATTACTGCTTCACGGCAGAAATAGGCAGGGTGGTGGTACCTATCCGCGCGGACTCGAGTGGTCCTACCACCAGTAATTACGCAAATTACAATTTTGCGGGTTTGATTTTTATTACACGATGTTATTCCTTCACCGTGGAAGTCAATCGTGAACATTTGTTGAGTACGTATTTCATTAGAAAAATTGGTACCCGCCTGAGATTAGAACACCGGTGCATCGTTTCAACACGAATGCACCGGATGTCTTATCGCTTAAAAGTCGTCGTGGCCTAAAGGATAAGACGTCCGGTGCATTCGTGTTGAAGCGATGCACCGGTGTTCGAATCCCGCAGGCGGGTACCAATTTTTTTAATGAAATATGTACCCCACAAATATTCACGATTCACTTCCACGGTGAAGGAGTAACATCGTGTAATAAAAATCAAACCCGCAAAATTATAATTTGCGTAATTACTGGTGGTAGGACCACTTGAGTCCGCGCGGATAGGTACCACCGCCCTGCTTATTTCTGCCGTGAAGCAGTAATGCGTTTCGGTTTGAAGGGTGGGGCAGCCGCTGTAACTATACTGAGACTTTAGAACTTGTATCTCAAGGTGGGTGGCGCGTCCACGTTGTAGATGTCTATGGGCTCCAGTAACCACTTAACATCAGGTGGGCTGTGAGCTCGGCCACCCATCTAAGCAATAAAAAAAAATAGCCACGACGACATAAACAACAAATTATTTATTATTCAATGTTAACTAATCCTATAATTTTATTAAGGACTTGTATTATCAGAAAAATATGTACTATTAAGCGGTAGGCCGCATTACTGATATCCATGAGCATCTGTGACCATTGCATGAGCCAAATATTTGTCTACATATTAATGCAATAGCAGAAAAAAGGTTTGTGTGTCCTTTTTCCACCTGCATCGTGGAACGTAGAGCGTTGGAGTCATAATAAAAAGCCATATATATTTTGTAGCATATATTTGCAATCACACAGTCTTATAACAAATTCAGCGAAGACAACTAAAACGAGATGCTAATGGTAACTTTCAATTTAATAGTAGATAAAAATTAATCACAATTTCGACTACTAAAGTGCGAGTGGGTATGCAATAAATCTACAAAATTCCACATGTAATGTTGGGTAAAAATTTTGGTAGTGTCAATAACATAATTATTTATAAATATTACAAGTACCTATTTTTACATATAATAAAACAGAAATGCACTCCGCACTATTTGTTAATTCACACAAAATCTTTTTTATAATAACTTTATTTATAAGTTAAGCACATTTACAAAATAGGGTTTGTGTAGGCCTGTGCAGTTTAGTTACATATATGTATGTATATTATAAGTTAATATTAGAATACATTTTAATATTCGTATTAATTATAATGAATACTGGCTTATCTACAAACTTTAACAATTTAAAATAAAATGCAGTTGACATAACACTGACGATGATAGATAATCGATACTATTAATAACAAATCATGTTGTTATAACAAATTCGAAACGATGACGGTAGACTGGACACAGTTTAGTAGACTCCAATCTCTTCACGAGGCAATTATTTAGTTTTTAAATCTTAATATATTTAAAAACCTTTCAATATATTTTTGTCCGAATGTCAAAAATAATAAATTAAGCTAGGTGCTAAATAGAATATTTCCGTTTGAAACAGCATAGGTATCGTTGTAGTTTCAGTCTTGACGTCATCCAGTTCTGGGAATCATAATATATTGAAATAGTTACGTTAATCAAAATCAATCTCAATCAGAAAGGCGACTGACACGCCTGAATTAGTTCGACGAGAAATTGGTATTCCATAAGTAATGCGAAGTAAAAAATTAACTACTCGTCCCTGACACAGATACCGTCATATCACCTATAAATCACCTAGCCAGAATGCGATGGGCAACATGGAATCACAAGCACGTCTGACCCAATAGTTTCCTAGTAGTATCTTCAATGTGCTTAGTGCCAGTTTTTTAACTTCTCGATCACGTAAAAGTTCTCTTCGTTTACCGCTAGAGGCGCTGTTCCACCTCCATACACATTTAAATCCTTTACGCGATCGAGAAGTTTTTACTAAGCACACAGTTACCACAAATATTGAGAAAGGGAACCACGAAGCTATGGGGAGGGTTGTGCAAGTCTCTTTTGTAATATTGCAAGTTGACCTTTACATACTATAACTTCATTTATTTCAAATTCTGTAAACACTATCTTCTTTCATTAAATTTTTCCTAGAGAAAAGTTTCGTAAATTCCTGACAGCAACATGCGACACAAACTCGTCGGGCTTTTCTTGCATGTTTTTGTAATTTTATCACTGCCCAAGAAGGTTGTTTTTTTTTCTAATCACTCCAATAGCATCTAGCGAACAGTAGCGTTTCAGTTTAAAATTATAGACTAATTTATCATGACGAATAATTATCGTTAATATTTAAAGGGTGGAACGGTTGTGACTTGTCAGGTATGTCAGCGTCCGAGAAAAGGTGGCGGCGCACGGTCTCCAGTGCCGGAGCGCTCGGCCCCGGGAGACTCGTGCGTGCTGATTGGAGGGACGGGCTCGTTACCTGCGTGTGCGATCAGTGATAGGGGTGCAGGTAGGTGGCGGTGGAGGCGAGGTCGCGGCGCAGCCAGGCCGCGTTGAGTCGCACGCTCTCTAATGCCTGCTGAACAGAGCGCTCGGCCCCGGGAGACTCGTGCGTGCTGAAGAACTCTTCAATCTCTTGTGCTGCTGCCTCCGACGCGAAGTTTTCAGTTGTCGATTTCACCAACCGAGCCAACAAGAATCCACCCTGGAATTTCTCCTCGTTTTTACAAGTTTCTTTTTGAATTAATAAGAATATCAAATCTATATCTCTAAATAAAATCTTGTTAGATGGTTTTATTTAGTTATAAAAACAAATACGGCAAAGCAAACCTGATATCTTTCTATGAATTCCTGGAAGTGATCTTTGAAAAACTGCCATGCCAGGTCACGACCGTTTCTGCTTACTGCAACTGACACGATAACGAAAACTGTGTCCTGCGATCTTACTTCATCCTGAAAAATAAACGTGTGTGAGATTGTTTCGAGAAGGTAAATGGGTCGAGCGGACCTGGTGAGAGCAGCACGCGTACCGAGATGGCAAAGTCGAGCACGCGCCTGAGCAGCGCGGGGTCCCGCACGGCGCCCAGGGCCCGCGACACGCGGTCCTTCTCCTCGTGCAGGTCGGCGGCGCGGTACAGTTGCAGGAACCGCTCGAACACGCGCTCGTCGGCGCCGCCCAGCTCCGCGCGGTAGCACGCCGAGCGCAGGTCCGCCGCCAGCGGCCGCTCGCCTGAGATGTGCTTCTCAAACCTGCAACGTGATCCGCGCTTAAATTACTGTGTGCACTCAAAGATGCATACAAGTAATGAAACTTTTATGCAACCGAATATACGGTGCAATTTATTAGAGGGCATACGAACCGAATTTTCGCTTCTTTAATGGTGTCAGGGTCTTCAAAGCTAATCATCTTATTGAGCACCAAGCTTCTGAGCAGAGTGTCGAGGTGACTTTCTTTCTCTTCCGCGTCCCATCCTAATTTCTTGGTTATGTTTGAAAATAGCTTTCGTCCGTAATTTTTCAAGGGTTTGTCGAGAGCAGTTTGAGAAAATAGTGCACTAAGCTTAGACATACAATTGGCGATGGTCGACCACACAGTAAAATTTGTTTCATTGCTGAATGCTTCCATAAGTTTCAAAGACTGCAAAAGATAAATAAATTTTTGCTAAAATTCCATTTATAATTTGAAAACGGTTGGCAGTTACAAAATTTTAATTCCACTATAATAAAAACAAACAAATTCAGAAGTAGAAGATTATCAATGATAAGTCTGTCTGATGACAAGATTTTCAAGTACTAACAACACTGATACATGTTTTCTTTTTTATATAGCATTAATGATAAGTTATAGATAAGGTATACTCCATTAACGCTAGACAGGTAGTGAGGTAGCGAGTTCTTTGGGCCAATAATAGTATTTAACAAGTTGGTAATATTCACAATTTACTAGTATTTCAAGAGTTTTTTTTTTNAAGTACTAATAACACTGATACATGTTTTCTTTTTTATATAGCATTAATGATAAGTTATAGATAAGGTATACTCCATTAACGCTAGACAGGTAGTGAGGTAGCGAGTTCTTTGGGCCAATAATAGTATTTAACAAGTTGGTAATATTCACAATTTACTAGTATTTCAAGAGTTTTTTTTTTTGCATTAGATGGGTGGACGCGTTTACAACCCACCTTATGTTAAGTGGTTACTGGAGCCCATAGACTTCTACAACGTAAATGCGCCACCCACCTTAAGATATAAGTTCTAAGGTGTCAAGTATAGTTAAGAAGTGTGCTTACATCGGCAGTGTGCGTGTGTCCCGCTTGCACGAGTGCGAAGCAGTCGTCCAGTAGTCCGAGGCGGTCGAGCGGCGGCAGAGAGCCATCCCGTATGGCCGGCACCAGCTGCTCCAACAGCTCTGCCGGGTACCGTGTGCGATAGTACCCCACCTTGCAACACACAAGTCACATATACATTAACCCTCAATTAAAAGAAGTCGCAATAATGATTTGAAGCGCATGTTTTTTTTAATTAATATTTAGTTAATTTTGAAATCGGCAAGCATTCGTGTCACGAAAAGTTTTGTTTCCTCTTTGTGTGTTTAATCTTTTTATATAATAATATATATTATATATAAGATTTCTTCTGTGTGTGTGTGTTTGTCTGAACTCCCTCTAAACGACTGGATCGATTTAAATGATTTTTGTTTGTATGCGTTTGGGTGGCACCCTGAATAGTTTAGATTCAGAAATCAGCCCGGCAGATAGCGCTGCAGTCGATATTTAGGTTAGTTACCTTTCCAAAAAATAATGTATATGGCAAAACAACCTTAGCCGGACCAGCTAGTATCTGTATATATTTAAACGTATTTAGGATGCATTGTAGATTAGTCTTTGGTTCCCATAGTACTGAGAATTCTGATTTGAGGCCAGGTGACAGCGTGTGATATTAAAATTTATCCCTGGTGATATAATATTATTTTTTAAGTTTTGAATAATTGTAATTTTGATTAATATTTATTATAATATCTAAAGAGATAAAACGAAATAGATAAATAGCTTAATAAATTCCCCTCTATTTTTCAACCATATTTTTAAGGTATTGCATAGATTTTATCGCGGGCCTTGAGCGCGGCGACCGAATCATGAAATTCCGTAACGAAAAAAACCTTACACCCCCCACTCCGCCTACCATGTAGCTCGCGTTCAACACATTCACACGTTGCGCTTGTGTAATGTTTGTGAATAAGCGCGTGGCGTGACGTCACACTGCATGCGCATCATGAAATTATTGTTTTTTTTTTATTTTTTTTATTTTTTTTGTACCAGTGATTGGATTCTTTGCATAAGCCGACTTCTTGAACTAATTTATACTTTTTTATTTGCATAGATGGGTGAACGAGCTCACGGCCCACCTGATGTTATGTGGTTACTGGAGCCTAGATACATTTACAACTTCTTTTTTTGTTTGTTTTATTGCATAGATGGGTGAACGAGCTCACGGCCCACCTCATATTAAGTGGTTACTGGAGCCCAGATACATTTACAACTTTTTAATGTTTAATATAGCGTGGTCTTGTTTTATTATTGTTTTAATATTAAATTATCATTGTCTAATTATACTTGCATAAGTTGATAAAAAATGCTATGCAATAGCTTTACCGCGGCAGTTCCCGAGTGCCACACGTTTTTTTTTTGCTTTACTTTCTATACAAGCTGTATTTATCAATTAAAAAACAATTTTTCCCACCTTTCCAACAAACAAATGTGGATGTCAGTTCCAGCGCTATTGAAGTTTACGAATACATATAAATAAAATTGGATTGTCTATTTGTAATATTGTAATAACCGTTTTTTACTACATGCATATGAATATATATGCAGTACATACACCAAAGTAACATTTTTTACAATTTTTGTTTCTGTCTGTCTATCTGTCTGTTTGTTCCCGCTAATCTCTGGAACGGCTGGACCGATTTTGACGAGACTTTCACTGATAGGTAGCTGATGATATAAGGAGTAACTTAGCAACTTTTTTTAGACTACCTTCGCCCCATGGCTACACCCGCGATACGACAATAACCGCGGGTAACATCACGGGATAGTTATCAATAATAAAGTTTATTGTTTTCGAAGCGAAGCTAGGGCGGGCCGCTAGTTATGCAATAAATTGCTATATTTGAATGAGAAACAATGTTGTTTCGTAAACTGTTGGTTTTACTGGCTAATATTTTCTACATAGGGATAAAGTGAAACCAATTTATAATAAAAATAAAACAAAAACAAAAGAAAATACATATTAGGTACATAAAATGATTATAAATTTAAAGTGTATATTGTAGAATTTCAGACACTGGGTAAACCCTAGTTTCAATAATTTTACTTACAGTTCCTGGATTCAATTTAATCCAAGAGTCTTGAGCTACATTTTTCAATACAACTTCCTGTGTTCTCTTTTCTAAAACCATAGACAAAGCTACCTGAAAAATGAGTAGACGTAGTAGTAGTAGTAGTAGTAGTAGTAGACGAGAGTAGACATGGATAAATAATTTAAAATTTTTATAAATGCATATTCATGTATCATGCTATGAAATATCAGTGCACCTGATCTCCTTTCACGCAGAGAGACGACGAGAATAATCATTGTATTGAATTTTCATAGGAAATGTTATTTTCACATCTTGATTAAAAAGGGTTTAATAATATCTGAGACTAACGATAAACGAAGAAAATACTAGGTCAATGTCAATTGATTATCATACATCTGTACTTGATATGCGGTCGATAACTTGCGCAAGATAAGTCACATTTAAATGATACTTCCATATTATCTGAATGACCTTGCGGCGATCAATCGATTCGGAATTACTTACCTTTGAAGGTTGTTCTTGCGTTGATATGGATATTGGAACCATCCAAAGAGTGTCATCTGCTTGACTACCATCCGCACAGAATTTGCGTTGAGTTAATGTTAATACTCGATTGGAGCCCCGCTGTTCTGACTGAACCTAAAAATATATTCAATTATTTAATCTAATACAGGGCTGTCCAAACTACTTATCCAAAAATATTTTCTGATTAAAATATGCCACATGAAAACAAGCCACAAGCAGTTGCCTGAACAGCCCTGTTCTTATGTATAAAATGGACGTTTCTTTGCTTTACGAGGCGTTCATAGATAATTTAATCAAAACTTAGTTGGTAGCTGTTATTGGCACTTTGTATTCTCTTGTCAAAGATGAAATAAAATCCGAGTACCTAATAATGATCCTCAAGCATATTTTACGTTAATGAATTTTTTACGTTAATGAAATATGTGCTCCTTCTAAAATAATGTATATAAATGTTTTCCTATATCACGCTATGACACATGTAAATGAAACAAAGCAATCTTATCATGCTGTATTTAATTGAGGTCAAATAGTTATGGCAATATAAATTTGTTATATTACTGGTAGATTTTATCTCCAAAAAGCCTTTGTGTAACGAATTAAAACATGTAATGTCTGATATTGTAGCTTTATTATATCTATTTGCAGAAAACACTGCTACATGTGGCCATGATTTTTTTATCTTACTCATATGGATAGATGTTATATAATTTATATAGCAAATTTATGAAAAATAATTTATTTCCTTTTAAGTATCTTTTTACGTTCTCAATTATTATTGCTTTTTGTTTGATGGCTTTATATGTGCTCACCACCAATCTGGTTTTAAGTGGTTACCAGAGCCCTTAGACAAAGCAACATAAATGTCCCCACCAGCTCTAAATACAAGGAAAGTGTCCCTACAATTACTTTAATGATCATCCTTCGAACCCATAAAATTATGACTGTTTTACAAGGACGCCGTCCTTCTCGAAATTTCCTGGGGATGAAGTCCTGTCCTATCATCAGGACGGTGTGGTGTAGGTCGATGGGGCTTAGTCGGTAGTCGATTCTGCGGGGCGGGTGCCACGCGCGCCTTTCTCAAGGCGTAGTCTCCCGGGAGGAATCAGAGAAGAAGGACTTTGGTCTTCCTCTTCTTCTCACAAGACACCAGGTTTACACTGGTCTGTTACCCCCTTCGAACGGGTAAATATAAACGGATTCGCCAATGTTAAAAAAAAGGTAAATTCTAGTCTCCTATTACAACACCCATTTAAGCGACAGTGATACTATCTAAATAGACACTACACAGTTGCAAAAAATCTCCCTTGTTTTTATTTACCTCAACCATCGGGAAACCCATCTGTTTGGTCCATGTAGACATAACAGCTCCGACAGGCTTTTTAGACGCCTCTTCCAGTGCTGCCCACAAATCTTCAGTGAAAGTGTTCTTGTACTGAATTATAAAATAAAATAAATATTCATAAATTGTATTAAACNTATCTAAATGGACACTACACAGTTGCAAAAAATCTCCCTTGTTTTTATTTACCTCAACCATCGGGAAACCCATCTGTTTGGTCCATGTAGACATAACAGCTCCGACAGGCTTTTTAGACGCCTCTTCCAGTGCTGCCCACAAATCTTCAGTGAAAGTGTTCTTGTACTGAATTATAAAATAAAATAAATATTCATAAATTGTATTAAACAAATATGGATTTTGGTGTGGAAATATCCAAGGACAAAAACTGTTTATAAATGCATACAAGATAGTTCAAAATTGAACTTAATTATTTTAACAGTCTAATGTTTTCATATTAATGTGATTTATTACCTGATGACGAGTTAGGTAGATATTCATGCCCTTACGAAAATCTTCATCGCCAATATATCTATGTAACATACGTATTACAGATGCCCCCTTATTGTACGATATGTCATCAAATATTTCATCAATTTCTGATGGATGGCCAACAGGAACCTCAATTGGGTGTGAATTTTTTAAGCAATCCAATTCCAATGCTCTGGAGATCATATTTAACATTCAATTTTACAAAATATATTCATGCCTATGTTATTTAAATTCACAATGTTATGTTTTCCTTAATGGAACATTGAAAATAAAAATGTTTTAATACAATGACTTCAAGTTTCTTTTTAAGGTATCTAATTAGAATATATCGAAGGTGATGGTAGATGATTCACTTTTAATTCTAGACAGTCTCACTGTTTTATATGACTCTTTAATTTCATTAGACATTAAAACTATTCAGAATCACACAATCACACAGAAAAGTAAATTTAACAACACAATCTAACATGGTTTCTGTTTACACAAGTGTGAGGTAAGAGCATATCAAATTGAAAAAAATAATTTTTGACACTTAAAATCTTAGTTGTACTGGCAAAGCTCCAAATGTTGGAAATTGCACTATCATTCTCAAAATTATTTAAGTATTTACTAAAATTAGTGTGAATGACTTCTTAAAGTCACCTCGAAAATAGGATCTGTTATTTATTTATAACATGAGATTTACCTAATGTAGTTTTCAGTCACAAACTGAGTCCAAATATCATATTCTGGGAAAAGATGATTTACACAAAGAAATTCCACAAAAGATGCATATCCTTCATTCAGCCAGAGATGTGTCCACCATTCCATTGTTACAAGATTGCCAAACCATTGATGTGCCAGTTCATGTCCTACAACTAAAGCTATCCATTGTCTTCTAACAGCAGAAGTATGTTCTTCATCTACCAAGAGACAGGTCTCCCTATATGTTACTAATCCCCAATTCTCCATAGCTCCTGCTGAAAAGTCTGCTATAGCAATCAGGTCTATTTTGGGCAAGGGGTATGCAATATCAAAGTAATCTTTATAATAAGGCAAAACTCGTGCAGCCACTTCAAGTGCAAACANTAAAGCTATCCATTGTCTTCTAACAGCAGAAGTATGTTCTTCATCTACCAAGAGACAGGTCTCCCTATATGTTACTAATCCCCAATTCTCCATAGCTCCTGCTGAAAAGTCTGCTATAGCAATCAGGTCTATTTTGGGCAAGGGGTATGCAATATCAAAGTAATCTTTATAATAAGGCAAAACTCGTGCAGCCACTTCAAGTGCAAACAGCCCCTGTTTACTTTTGCCTACAGGAGTATAAACCCTTACTAGAATTCCATCATTAGATTTCTTTTCCACATAATCATATTCACCAACAACAACAGCCACTAAATATGTTGACATTATTGGTGTTGTGTCAAATTGTATGATTCTCGTATTGTCTGCTATCTTTTCTTGTTTTACAGGCATATTAGACAAAGCAACACGATCAGCCGGAACTTGTAAGGTTATATCAAAAGTGGCTTTAATTGCAGGTTCATCCCAGCAAGGGAAACATCGTCGTGCATCTGTCGCTTCAAATTGGGTGACAGCCGCATATCGTTCTTCTCCATTGGGAGCAATGTATTTACTGCGGTACAAGCCTTTCATTTTGTCATTTATTTCACCTGTAAACTCAGAATAAAGCGTCGCTTCGCCTTTTAGTAAAGATTCTGAGAAATAAATACTTGCTGTTTCATCAGTTGTACTCAATTCTACTGACGATGGAATTATCGCTGAATTAGAGCCATCGTTATACTGAAGTTTCACATTTTTCAAATCCAAGTCTAAGCTATTCAATACTATCACATTCGTTGGATTAACAATCTGGAAAAAAAGATATATATTTAAGGTAGCTATTTAAGTACCATTCAAAATTGCGAACAATAGCAATAGTAATCACGACATCGACTTACCGATACTTTCACCGCAGTTTTTCCCTTGAAAGTAAATTTTTCCAGATTTGGAATCAATTCCAATGCATAATGCTTAGGAATCACATTATTAGGAAGTCGTTGAAACGGCTTGTTCTCTGGCATTGTCACTTTTTCTTTCGAGATCGCCAATGTAGGACGCGCTGTATAAATGTACCGTAATGACCGAGTGACAGAGTGAACTCGTGCAGCAACGGCACCACTGACACGTGCCCCCCTCACAAACTTCGTTCCCCGCACTGAATTACAATTTGTGCTACGTAACAGTAATGTGTTAGGAATTTTGTTAATTTTAAGAGTAAAATTTTTGGATTGGTTTATAACTCGAGAAAGTAACGTCATGAAAACGACTAAATCTACTTTAACTAGTAATATTTGCGTTCCTAATCAATTATTGGGATCTGAAATTCTAGTGGAAAGCCAACAATCAAAATTCAACAAAATAGTCACAAGTAGGTACTCTATGGCTGTGGAAAAGACGTCATAGAGTCTATTTAAGTTAGAGCAAAAAAATACAATTTAAAGGGTCCAATAAAATGACTTTATTGCTTGAATGGGGAAAGCGAACTGTGAATTCTTAATTTTGTGTTTCTTCAATTCTTTAGCATCTGCGAAGGTCTACATGTGAGAAAAGTCGCTGGGCCAGGCCTCTCAGATTTCTCACCGCCGGATCAGCCTCCTGCCAGTGTTAGGCAAATTATACCAGCGACTATTACGCAAACGCCTCTGGGACTTCATCAACTCGAAAAGCATCCTGATCGACGAACAGCTAAGATTCCGCGCGAAACACTCGTGCATTCAGCAAGTGCACCGCCTCACAGAGCACAACTTAGCAGTGCTAAATAGGAGCAGACCAGTCCCCATGGGAGCCCTCTTCTTCAATATCGCGAAGGTGTTCCACAAAGTCTGGTACGGTTTAATTTACAAACTGTATAACATGAGCGTGCCAGACAGCCTCGTGCTCATCATACGAGACTTCTTATCGAACCGTTCGCTTCCGACGGAAACTAATCAAAACGAACGAATTGAGGGAACTCGCTTTCTACCGCGACATAGCTCGGCCGAAGTCCCGCAAGGCTCTGTTTTCTTCCATCTAATTTTAACTTATTTATTAACGACATACGCCGGTCACCGGCGATCCAGTTAGTCGTTTTCGCGGATGGTATGGCTATCTACTACTCGAGTAGTGAGCTGTCGTTCAGGGCATAGTAAGCTCCAGATCGCGACCACCAATTTAGGACAGTGGTTCCGGAAGTGGCGCATTGACATCAACCCCACGAAATGCACAGCTGTGCTCTTCGAAAGGGCTCTTCTAAAAAGTCGTCGTGGTCTAAAGGATAAGACATCCGGTGCATTCGTATCTAGCGATGCACGGTGTTCGAATCCCGCAGGCGGGTACCAATTTTTCTATTGAAATACGTACATAATAAATGTTCACGATTGATTTCTATGGTGAAGGAATAACATCGTGTAATAAAAATCAAACCCGCAAAATGATAATTTGAGTAATTACTGGTGGTAGGACCTCTTGTGAGCCCGCACGAGTAGGTACCACCACACTGCCTATATCTGCCGTGGAGCAATAATGCGTTTCGGTTTGAAGGGAGGGGCAGCCGTTGTAACTATACCTTAGAACTTATATCTCAAGGTGGGTGACGCACTTACGTTGTAGATGTCTATGGGCTCCAATAACCACTTAACACCCGGGTGGGCTGTGAGCTCCTCCAACCCATCTAAGCAATAAAATAAAAAAGGGATCACCCTCTGGGCACTACTGCTAGTATCTCATCACGAATTAGGTGCGGTAACTTCATTCCCGCCATTAAAATTTTTGGCCAGCCCGTACCGTGGGCTTCGAACAGAGTGATGACATTCGCTCCCCACATTAAGTCAATACGCGAACGATCGGGGTTACTACTCGGTTGACTCACCCCATGTTGTGCAAGTGAACTAAATTGTTCCTTCGAAGGTGACGCTACAAAACTTGCATACGTTCTGTCATGAACTATGCAGGTGTAGTGTTTGCTCACGCGGCCCGTACATACATTAACTCTCCAGGTCATCCAATCCCGTTTCTGCAGGAAAGCCGTCGGAGCAACGTGGTATATGAGGAATGTAGATCTTCACGACGACTTAAACCCATGCGTAAGTATCTTAAAGAAGCGTCAGAACGCTACTTCGACAAAGCGGTGCGACACGAAAACTATCTTATCGTGACCCACCGCGACGGGTCAACGCAAAGGCACCGTCGCGTCGCCCGAAACATGTCTTGTCGGATCCCCCGGATTCACTCTCGGTGCTTCTAAGGCCCTCAAGCACCGTTCACCGTCCTCGTCAAACTTGTCGATTACGACAAATAGTTCGACGAGCGAACTAACCCATAGACACAGCCCACTGAGTTTCTCGCCAGATCTTCTCAGTAATAATATTTCTAATGTTCTTTATTACTGTCAAAATCCACGACAAAATTGATTGTCTTTATTGTTTCACTTATTTTAACTTTATTCATTAAGTGGTTGCTATGTTCCACTCTCTTTTTTTTTAAATACAGAAAATGCGAATAAAATGTGATATTTTTATTTTCTTATATTTGAAATTCTAACTTTTAGTCTATTTGTTTATAATAAAATAAATAAGCCTTTATTGCTGTTAGATTTTAACTTATTTAAATAAGCATAAAATGATAACCATAGAGTTAAGAAAACTATAAATTAACATTAACTAAAACATATTCTCGGCATTCGGCTTATCTCTCCTCTTAACAGCTTGTCTTTCGATTAAGGCACGAGGCCTAAGGATTTCCATTTGTTTCTGTCCTTTGCTGTACTTATTATTGATTATGATTTGTCTATATTATTGTTTATAATACTAAAATGCAAATCATAGACCTAAAACGAATGAGGTGAAAGAAACCACAATAGTGAAAACACAACTTAGTTCGCTTTCAAATCATGGGATAGAGTCGACCGAGTAGGAACCCGCATCGGTCTCAGCGATCTCTATCGAAGAGCCCGGCTGTGTTTTTTGTGGGGTTGATGTCGATGCCCAACATTAATGATGTGTACTGAGTGAATACTACAAGCGAACAAACAATTCGTTAATGGCTTCCAACATAGAAATTCTGATCTAAAATACGAAACCCGCTCACGCCCAAAAACTAAAGTAACAACGACGAATTAAAACGACTGTGGAAGTTTTCAAAGTTGCATCAAAACAATATTGGTTCAGTTGGGTCAAATTGGCAAAATAAAACAACTTGATAAGTGCCTACTGCACGAATTGAATGATAGCCAGAACGACGAACGCGTTAAGATCTGCCTTACGTTGCTTAACAGACGCAGAAACAAAATGATTTTAAACGGCATTATCAGTTGCGATGAAAAATGGATTCTTTTTAATAAACGTAAGCGGTCAAAATGTTGATTGGACTCTAGTTCAGCACTTAGGCAATGCTTGCGAAAACTTATCCATAAAAAGTCATGGTCACTGTTTGGTCTACTGCCGATATAATTCATCATAAATTCTTACTTTCCTCTTACCTCTACTGCGGATGCCTACTGTAGCACAATAACTGAGAACCTCGCGAATCTCAGACCAGCCTTAATCGCTCATCCTGGCTGCTTCTACATGATAACGTCCGACCTCATACAGTACAACAGATGGTCTCTGAGCTATATGAACTAGTTGGAAGTTTTGCGTCATCCACCGTACTCAGCAGGCCTTGCGCCGACAGTCTGTTCCTTGTTTCAAAGCCTGGACAAGTTCTTGGCAGGGAAAAAAATAATGCTTGAGAGTCAGTACAAAAATTTTGTTGGCTCTCGTACATCTGACTTCTTCAAGAAGAGCATATCCTATAGATAATAAAAATATAAAGAATGCTTTATCTTTCTGTAAGCCTAAACAGCAATTTCTTAGGTAAAGATGTAATATTTTATAATAAGAGGCACACTTGATTCAACTTTATGCACAAAAGCACGTGAATAAAGTAGAGTTCTCAAATTAGGTGTTGAAAAAATTTCTAATACTTCTGGCTGTCTGCGTTGTTTCTTTTGCCTAGCTAAGTGAATTAGCAAACAAAAAAATCTATGGTTAATGTAACTTGTCAAAGTCAACAAAAAATTGCTAACCTTCATTCTCTTTAATGGAACAAAATCTACTTTAATTAAAATACAATTACTCTGTTGTAAATTGCCATACTTACTTTAAATAAATCGAATCTGTTTAGGTAGCGCCTATGCAATAAAGCTTGACTGAATTAATCTAAGTTTTTACAGTTCTCTAAGCCGGTGATACTGTGATCATGGCGAATCCGTCATCAGGCGTTGGTAAGATTTTTTTTCGATCTATAGATTTTCTCTTCTTGTGTAAACATGTGAACAATAAATATTAACTTTACTTATTTTTTTTTACCAATTTAGTGGTGCCACGGAATTTTCGTCTCTTAGAAGAACTTGAACAAGGCCAAAAGGGAGTGGGCGATGGAACCATTTCTTGGGGTCTTGAAAGCGATGATGATATGACTCTTACTCATTGGACTGGAATGATTATTGGCCCACCAAGGGTAAAGTTTTTTTAAATACTTTTTTTATCTGTGATATCTAAACTACTTTTTTATAATTTAAAATTACAGACACCCTACGAGAATAGAATGTACTCCCTTAAAATTGAATGTGGAACACGATACCCTGATGAGCCACCGACAGCCCGCTTTATTTCTAGGATTCATATGAACTGTGTCAATAGTCAAACTGGACTTGTAAGTATAATTTTACGTTGAATATATTGCCAAACATTACCTTTTGATGAACAAACTATATTAACATATATTTAAATTATCAGGTGGATAATAGACAAGTCCCAATTCTTGCTAGATGGCAGCGTGACTATACCATCAAAACAGTTCTTCAAGAAGTGAGACGTCTCATGACTCTTAAAGATAACATGAAGCTTTCTCAGCCACCAGAGGGAAGCACTTTCTAGTTCCTTCAATCAAGTCTCAACAGGCCCAATCTACTTTCACATAAAACAATAATTTTAAAATAAATAAATTGTTCTCTATATTGGAAAAACTGTCATGCTGGTGCATGTACTGCAGATCAATTATTGCCTTTATAATTTAAATATTGTTCTGAGATGTAGGTTGGGTGTTTATCATATCTGATTCTAGTACCCGTTTATTTATCACATTACCAAAATTATTGTGGCCTTTATAAAAGTGAAACTTGCTTTTGGTAAAATTAAGGCTAGTTTTACTAATTTCTTCATTTTAGGCTAGCAAAACACTAGTGCTATAATATTGTTGTATTAAATTACTCATGGTTTTTAAAACAACAATGTTTAATAGTACTCATAATATGTGGAATATATAATAATATCTCAAACAATGTCTGATAAGCAAAAACATTTATTTATCTCTGAATATTTATCATAAACTTACTATGGGACTTGCTTTTTGCTTAATTATATTTGCTTTAGTTTTCTAATAGTTTTACATGTGTAAACATAGGTGTTTATTTCTTAGGAAAATAAGGTAAATGTACTATTGATTCTTGGTCTTTGTAATTTATGCATTTAATGCAATGTGCATTTGGCATAATTGCCAATTCATTAAAGAGTAAAAAAACTGCAGTAATCACAATATGTATCTGTAAACTCATAGTACCAACCAAATGCTAAGTCAAATTGTTTCATAACATGAATATTTTTACCAATGTAATACCAGCAAAAATAAATCAAATAACACTCAATGTATGCCATTTATTTAAAAACTCTGTTCCTCATATAAGAATAATGAAATATCAGAGTAAGTAACAGAGGAGATGTTTTTTTTTTCATTTTTATATAAATTTTATTTATTTCCAAAGGAGTAGATTAATTTTGCTGAAAATATGTTTATATTTTCCTAGGTTGTATCAGATATGCACATTGATTGTATATTGCTACAAGTTGGTGGTTGATGGGAATCGGACTGTTGTCATCACCTGGGTCTGGGTTATTAAGAGATGTTGATCTTGGTAACACCCAACAATAGGCCACGGGCCTGTTATACAGCGAAAGAAATGACTTTTGTAACTCTGTGCGTCTCAGAGCAGATAGCAAAGTCGTCTGCATAGATCCACAAGTAAGTCCACGAGGCTGAGGACTGCACCACTAAGTGAGTAATATCAAGCAATACAGGAAGTAATTATGTACTGAGCCTTGATGATGCACCTTTTCTGCAACTGCTAATAGTTTTGTTTGAATCACTATTGTTCGTACCACTTATCTCGCATCCATGTATGTACATGTCTGCTATGATGTTACCATAATGTTCCGACACGTTCTTGCAAAGGCTACACCGGGTCGTAGGTATCCCTTGAGACGTGGTCAAATGCTTTCCATGTCTAAGAGTGCGACTTGCAATGGTCGACATTTTGCACGATACTCTGCAGCGAGCGTTTAAAACAAACAGGATCGGTATTAGACAAGGCCATTGTCATAGTTAGATAATGGACAGTGAATACTCTGATTTCAGGCGGTTGTCAATAATTCCTTCATATAGCTTCATAATATCTCTTGCCAGTTTTATTCTGTGATAGTTGTTACATTCTTAGTTGCTGCCCTTCCCCGTATGAATAGGAACTGTGGTGCCCAATCGGCATTTTGGAAGAGAGTAACATACAATTGAAGAGGTTGGTGAGCGACAGGAATCCGTGTTCGCGAAGGCACTTCCAAGCTATCACTGGAATATCGTTAGACCCCGTGGCTTTCTTGTTCACCATCTACTTTAGCTGACCTCACTGGGAAGTATTGGAGGTATATTTCCAATATTCCTACCTACGCTTTCGACCTATGTAGCGGGTTGAGTAGCTGATGATAATATTGATGCCAGGCTGATAGGGCCTTATCTTTGTTCAGTAGCTCGTAGACTTTTTTAACATTTAGACCCTTACCTATTTTACATCTAGCGGAATCCTTTGTGTTCTGAAAATGTTGACATTTGAAATATGACCTTCCTTTGGTTTCCAATTGCACGTATTGTCTTCTCCGTAATTTGCGCACTCCACTACTATTATTTTCGTATTTCTTCTTCTTATCTATCTTATAAATTTATTTATATTCTTATTTATCTTATTGTTGTCTTCTTCTTTCTTCTTTTTTAATCTTCTTGGTCTTTAGAAGTTTGAGTGGACTGCCAGGTCATAAAGGCTTCCTAGAATTTTAAATTGCGCTGTTGCTATCCACCAAGAATCTTTGTTATGAAATTGACACATTTATCATATTTTATTACTGTAAATAATGACAGCAAAATTAGATTCCTCTACTGAATAAAATTCAGAAAATCATAAATAACTATTGCTGATTAACAAGTATTTAGACGTACCTAATCGTCAGTTTTAAATATGATTGAAAGCTAAAGTTAAAATAAATTTCATTTTAAACCAACTTCAAAGTCTATGACAATTTTTTTTATGCATATATGGGTGGACGAGCTCACAGTCCACCTGGGGTTAAGTGGTTACCGCAGCCCATATACATCTACAACGTAAATGGCACCACCCACCTTGAGATATGAGTTCTAAGGTCTTAGTACAGTTACAACGGCTGCCTCACCCTTCAAACCGAAACGTTACTGCCGCGGCCGTTACGAACCAAACATTACTGCTTCACGGCAGAAATAGGTAGGGCGGTGGTACCTACCCGTGCGGACTCGCAAGAGGTCCTACCACCAGTAATTACGCAAATTATAATTTTGCGGGCTTGGTTTTTATTACACTACCTGTTATTCCTTCACCGTGAAAGTCAATCGTGGACATTTGTATAGAATATTTTAATTTATTTAATTATCGTTGTATAACAAAATATAATAATAAAATATTAAAATAATGGATTTACCATTGTAAAAGCTGCTAATATTATATTACTCTTGGTCGTACAAAAGGTGGTAGAATAAGCAATAAAGAGACTTGGTCGTGGACAGAAGCAGTACAAAATGCAATTCAAATAAAAAAGATGCCTTTAAGACCTGGCAGTCCACCCAAACTACAAAGGACCAAGAAAGATATAAAAGAATAAAAAATGAGACTAAGATAATAGTGGCAGTGGAGCGCGCTGATTCCCTAAAGACCATGTACGAGCAACCGTAAAGAAAAGAAGGTCAAAAATGTATATTTAAGCTTGCTAAACAGCGTTTTCGGAGCACGAGAGATGAAGGGCTGGTAGAGATCCAAATGGTGAGCTACTCTATAAGGATAAGGATGTCCTATCAGCCTTGCATAAATATTATGAACAGCTACTGAACCCTACTCAAGCAGCTATACAGCTCACAAACGTGGGCAGGAACATTGGACTTATACCTCCAATACGTCCCGATGAGGTCAAAATGGCGCTAGAAGAAATGGCCAACATGAAAGCCACAGGGAAACACCGAATAGCCGCAGCGTGGCTAAAATGGTGAGAAGTAAGTGGAGTCACCTGCGACAGGATGCCCGTTAAACTCAAGGGTTTGATCTATAAGACCATAATAAGGCTTGTTCCCAAGTATGGCAGCGAAACATGGACGGCAACCAAAAGCAACATGCATACCATTAAAGTTGCTAAATTGATCAGGCTCGATACAATCCGCAACGAGTGCGTGCGTGGAAACCTCGGTGTACGGGACATCGCCGACAAGATGCAGGAGAGTAAGCTGAGATGGTATGATCTCGTAAGAAGGAAGCCACCTGAATACATCGGAAATTTGACACTACTGGCCGATCTCCTCGGTCGGAGACCTAGAAGTAGACCCAAGACAAGGTGCAAGAATGTAGTGCTGAAGGACAAAAGGGAATGCAATGTTGGTAACGAGGATGTCCAAGACAGAGCGAAGTGGAGGAGTAAAGTAAGGAAAGCTGACCCCACCACCGTGTGGGATAAATAGCTGGGAAGAGAGAGAGAGAGAGAGAGAGAGAGAGAACAAAATATAATAATAGAGAATATTGTACCGGAAAAAGGATATTGTTTAGCACACAGTTATACCCGATGCTCGATGCAGTCTCTCCACTCTCGGTGCTTTTAGGCTCTTCAAGCACCCCCTCGACCGGGTATCCGTAAATGGACTCCCCAGTGTTAAAAAAAAAAAAAAAGGCTCTTTTAAGCACCGGTCACCGTTCTCGTCGAACCCGTGGAATACATCGAAGGGCTCGTCGTGAAACTTAACCTACAGACACATCCCACTGAGTTTGACAGCTGGAGTCCCGCAAGGCTCCGCGCTCTCCCCGTTAGTTTGTATATCAATGATATACCCCGGTCTCTGGAGACCCATCTAGCGCTCTTCGCCTATGACACGTCTATCTACTACTCGTGTAGGAAGAAGGCGCTATTGCATCGGCGACTCCAGATCGCAGCAACCACTATGGGACAGTGGTTCCGGAAGTGGCGCATTGACATCAACCCCACGAAAAGCACAGCGGTGCTCTTCAAAAAGGGTCGCCATCCGAATACCACTTCAAGCGGCCCACTCCCTAATAGGCGCGTTAACACCTCCGCCTACGCCATTCGCCCCATCATGGTGCACGACCAACCCATACCGTGGGCCCCAAAGGTCAAATACTCAGGCGTCACCCTCGACAGAGGGATGACATTCCGCCCCTACTTAAAGACGGACACGATCGTGCCGCCTTCATACTAGGACGCCTCTATCCGAAGATTTGCAAGCGAAGCAAATTGTCCCTTCGAAATAAGGTGACACTTTACAAAACTTACATACGCCCCGTCATGACGTATGCAAGTGTAGTGTTCTTTCACGCGGCACGCACCAACTTGAAACCCCTTCAAGTTATTCAACCTCGTTTTTTGCAGGATAGCCGTCGGAGCAACATGGTTCCTAGGGAACGTGGATCTCCATGATGACCTGGAGCTTGACTCAGTCAGTAAGTATATACAGTCGGCATCATTGCGCCACTTTGAGAAGGCGGCACGACATGAGAACCCTCTTGTCGTGGCCGCTGGGAATTACATAGCCGATCCTGTAGACCGATTGGTAAATAGTCGACGTCGCCCAAAACACGTGATTACGGATCCTCCCGATCCATTAACGTTGCTTTTAGGTACCACAAGCACCCGTCACCGTCCTCGTCGAACCCGTCGCTTGCGACGAAGGGCTCGACGAGCGAATTAACCCATAGACACAGCCCACTGAGTTTCTCGCTGGATCTTCTCAGTGGGTCGCATTTCCGATCCGGTGGTAGATTCTGCGAAGCATTGCTCTTGCCAGGACCAGTGTTAGCAGCACTCTGGTTTGAGCCCCGTGAGCTCACCTACATGTCAGGGCGAAGCTGAAATAGCCTCTCAAGGCTATCATCATAGGTAGGTGAAAAAAAGATAAGACTAAATTTTGTATATACATATGTACCAACTATTAGAGAATGGTAGTTAACTTATTAGGTATTTATCCATCTAAAATGTATTTTTATTATATTCTGCTAGGCGTACACACATGAAGTCTGACAATATCTCATTATCTATTTAATCTAAATCAAACGATTATTTAGCAAAGGTTCGTTGCTTTTTGTAGTGCATACTTAATTATCAGTGCGCCATCGGAGTCAAAGTCAATGTCTTTGTTAAAATCTGTGGTATTTGGGCCATGAGTGCACAACTCGGAGTAAATCTTATATACACTACTGGCCAAAAGTTTAAGACCGCACATAAACATCATAATTATCTATCAATTGTAATAAAATCCCATAAGATAAATAAAATAGATGCACATCTGCATATTCTATTG